ATAGCAAAAACGTAAACGACTTTGTGGATTTTCCATCGTCAAATTTCCAAATTTTGTAACAATTATTCACAGTTTTTGTAATTTTCAATTAATTTTCTCTTAGAATCGAAAATTTAGAAAAAGTCTCTTCAGCAGAAAAATACAGAATTCAAATAATACCACAACGGCTTCTACGACGTCCTTCCACAACCTAATTTAACTTTAATTTCAACCAAATTTATGGATTCATGAGAAGCTTTAGTTGACGGCTACATAAGTCATTAAAATCATTATGAACATAATATGTACATTAGTGGTCTTTTAAGTACTTTTAATCCTTAATTCATTCTAATTGACATTTAATATTCCTAAAAGTTTCTCTTGATGTTCTTAAGACTAAATTTTTAAAATCCAAAAGTTCATTTATTCACGTGAATACTACTACGTCACTCTCTCGATAGTTTTACCTTTGATGTAATCTACTCGAAATAAAAACTAATACATAATCAAATACCAATTTACATATTATATGCGTCAGATTAAGCGCCCACTATTCTCTAAATAGTTAGATATTCTCTAGTTTCATCGGGAATTTCAAAATATATATAAAGAAGAAGTCAATATAATCTCATCAAAATAGAAACAAATACATAATAAAATATTAATATATCTATTTTGGTTGTCACAGTCAGCACCCAGTATTCTCCAGATAGATTCAAGATAGTTTAATTGGGAATTTCAAGATGTATATAAAGACGAAGTCCATATAATCTTATTAAAATAGAAACAAATACATAATAAAATATTAATATATCTATTTTGATTGTCACAGTCAGCACCCAGTATTCTCTAGATAGTTTCTAGATATTTAAATCGGGAATTTCAAAATATATATAAAGAACAAGTCGATGTAGTCTTATCAAGATAGAAACAAATACATAATAAAATATATGACTTTTGTTCGTCACAGTCAGCACCCTGTATTCTGTTTGCATTGTAATTTTGTTATATATATTTCATATATATATTCACATATATATCACATATTGTTATATATGAAATTAGCAATTAAAAGTCAATTGTATTAAAATTCATATGATAATGAGAGAAATACCCTCCCCTCAAAATCCAGAAAGTTACATGACTATAAATGGTGTATGAAGAGTAGTTTTAAGTATCACTCTTTTTAGGGTAAGACTGTATATTTCTTTGCTATAGTTTTAATTTCGTCTTTCATTGAAGAAATTTTGAGATCGCGAAAGAATCGATATTCATTTATTAATAAAAAAGTAATAAAAGTAAGTCCCGTAGAATTTCAAATTGTAATCTAAAAAATTTTAATATTACAGTTCGGCAGTAGGTCCACACTAGCTTAAACACACCTTTATTCAGAAGAATTGAAATTCCAACAGTTGGTAACTTTGCTTACTTGTAGTGTAAGTTACAAAATTAAGAATTTCCTTTTAATTCATTTGATTCGTTTTGGGTACAAATCTTATGTTGAGCCTTTTCCGAGTTAGTGCATCTGGACACTTTTACTTTATAATGGTTGGGGGGTTTCTGCAGAGTCCCACCCATCTCACTGACGTTGAATCCTTTTCAATATGAATGTGAATTGATGGCTCCATACTCCATCCAATATTTAAACAAACAGAAATTTTCTCAGTAATGATTTTTTTTTACAGTAAATACTGATAAGGACCTCAAGATATTTGCCTAAGGTATGGCATAAATGTGTTCCCAAATAATTTAAATTTGAGTATTTTTATAAAGTTCATTCAATCTTCTTTTCCGACTAGTAAAACATGCATCCATTTAAGCCGGAATGACACATTTTAGTAGACTAAACTATGCAGCAGTCAGAAAATATGCAATCTTCACAGTCAATTATTGGACGAAACTTGCCTTTGCCTTAAAATTTATTTATTTAGGCAATAATATTTTTTAAAAAGTTTTTTAAATTTTTGATAGCTGCGTTAAACTTGTAAGTTCTATAACAATTTGTATTCTCACAGAATTGGCGTGGAAATAATTGTACTCAATTTAAAATAATTCAAATCGCGCTTACTGGGTACTCTACTTATGTACCCTACAATTGAGCTGAAGATATATAGCTACAGATAGATTTGCAATATCGCAGCTAATGAATATCAACTTTCACTAATGTCATACCTATTTACTTCTTTACTTTTTAAAAGGTTCTGCAATTTCAACTATCGTCTTTAGGATATCGATTAAGTGTTAATATTATATATAACTAATGTAAAGTTTAATAGTCCTCTATACTGTCAAGAAGCTTTAAATCATCACTAGATTGATCCTTAAAAATAAATAGTATATTCAGTCACAAATTAAAACTAAAATTAATTAAAATTAATTTAAATATTTACTAAAAATTAACTTATATTATATATATATATCACTTTTTGACATATTATATTCAGTACAAAATACATCTTTCTTTTATTTCTTTATACAACCATATAGTCTTTATCAGATAGCTGATACACAGATTATAAAGTGTTCCCAATCGTCCTTATCACCCTTTTTTGCAATATTTTTTATAGATGGACTTTTTACTTGCCATGCATATTCAAATTTTACTCGACTTCGAGTTATATCCTCCTTCATTATTGCATATTAATTCAAATGGTCTATTACTTTTATTCTGAGTCTTGGATAGGTATTAATTGTTTTAATTTGAAACCTACCGTGTTTCGTCAGCTCTTTTAACAGTACATGTATATGCGTCATGTAGAACGCATATACTGGTGCAATTATTTTATCGTAATAGGCTAGATTCTAGTACCTCATAAAGTCGCCCATATATTTTGTTAGCTTCATCCTTCTTTTTTATGAACCCAGATAGACTCCACATCGTAACATTCAAAACTGTAGAAAAAATGGAACATCTTCATGACTTGCGAAATAATATTGTATTTATTATATTATTCATATAAAACCGAATTTCTTTTTAACTTATAAATTGTTAAAAAATTTATAATAATTTATTTGAGTACAAAATTTAGTGATAGATATATGGAATTACAGTAGATAGGGTATATTTAGACGCTATACAACCTTTTCTATATTGTTGCTATTATTCTATCAATATCTAAACACAGTCATAACAAAAAATTCTTTCAAATTACCATATAAAGAAGATATAAGATTTATATATTTCGTATTTAAAAACTAGTCAAGGTGATTACTTCAAAATCTCTGAAAAATTGATAAAACTTGAATAAAACATGATATAATACCCGTAGACAGACTCAGACATATTAGTAATAGTTAGCTTTCAGCTAAATATAAACTGTAAAGTTTTTATATCCTTGAATAAGCATATGTTCTTGGCCTCTTGGAAATTTTTTTCGAAAATTCTGACAAAATACTTTAACGTAGTTCAGCACCTGGTAAGCAAAAATTCAGTGGTAGCTTGCTGTGTGCTTGTTCACACAGGAATAAGTGGCAACGAGCCCACATATAACCCTAACCCTGCAAGGACTGGTTCAGCCACTCAACTTTGTAAACGAGAATAGTATTGTGATATAAGTTGATTCACAACAAAGTTTCTAATAGAAAAATGGTTAGCAGTCGAAAGAAGTCACAACATGCACGACACTCTAGATAATCGCCAGGCTAAAGTAATGGTGCGGTCATTCAGCTACAGTGGGTTATCTCTCCTAAAAAGAACAGAACTGAAGTTGTTGACAGTTTGTCTGTTGGGTCATCAGGGCCTGAGTTATTATTTTAAGAATATGAGAAGCGATGTTTAGTCACATAATTATGGCTGTCTAGATTTGATCTGTAAAAGAACGAAACTACTATGTCGAGAATTTTGATCCTCTTCTGAGTTTTGTATTTAACAGTTGATATTTGAAACGCAAAATATATTCGATTCAGTTAGGGTAGGTTAGTAAAAATATGAATCTAACTAAAGAGTTTTGTTTTTTGCTCGAAAATGAAGAGATCTCTAATCACATTCTTTGCGACTGTTCGGCTTGATATATATCACGAGGTGACTGCTAAGTTGATAAATTCGAAGTAAGGATGTTTTCAATGATTAATTGCACAAAAGATCTCTAGTCATATTTATTGTGACATTCTGACTTTAATCTATGCCAAGAGTAGACAACTAAAGTTCCTACCCTTGCGCGAAGATAGGACGGACGTGTTTAATAGCTAGCATTTTATCTTCATTCGAGATACGAAGAATCTTCTGTTCAGTTATGGTCGGTTAGTTACATAAAAGATCAATTATTGTCATAAAGTTCTGCTCTCCGAGAATCAACACCTCATCGTTTTTGTATTAAGTTCTTCTATTATAAATTATGCATTAAATGCTTGTATCAATGAAGTGAAGGGGCTTATATTGTAAATTTTTTTTATAATTGTGTTTCATTGAAATTTAGAAATAAGTAAATCTAATTGTTGTTCCGAATATTTTCTCCTATAATTCATTCATAGTTCGTTACTTTTGAAGAAGTAAATTTGTAAAATATATATATAATGAATTTAGTTTTGAAAATAGTTTTTTCCCATAATTTATTTTTCTAAATTTTTTCTAAGATAAATATACATGTACATTTTAATTTATTTATTTGGTATAAAATATATATTTAATAAATTTTTATGAGATTTTAATATGAATAAAATACTTCGTACAATTTATGTTTCTGACTGTCATTAAAGTCAATATTAAAATTTCCATAGAAATAGAAAAGTTTCCATATTTTTCCCTGCTCGCATGCAAATCTGCTCGACTGATGCCGTTCACACATTAAAATAAAAAAAATTAAAGTGCCTTCTTACAATAACAATAATAACAACAATGGCACCAACACTAATAAAAAACAACAATAAATCTACAATAAGTCTTTTGAAATTGTTGTTAAATTTTTATTTTATTTAATCAACTTAATAAAAAAGAAAATCTTAATAAACTAAGCCAATTTTACAATTGAAAATGCAACGCAGTTTTTAATGAAGAAGATTTTGAAGACTTAAGCTGCCCGCTCAGATCTCACGACGGCACCCGTTCGAGCGGTCGAGCGGTTCGAGCGATTTAGTTGCAAAATTACACACTCGGCGAAATGTTGCCTTTGTTGGTCCGAGCAAATTAAAAAATTATAAAAAATATTATTCTGAACAGTAAACTATTATTAACAAAGCAATCTATCGCAGGCATCGAGCAACAATAATTAAAAAATTTTTTTGTGTGTCTTTGCAGAGTTGGAATGATATTTTCTTAAAACAGTGCAGTGAAGTGAGTGTTAAAAATTAATAAATTAGTTAATAATAATAAATTAATAACGATCAAGAGAATTATAAATAAATTTAATATAAAAAGTTGATCAAACTTAAAAAGCTGAAAAGTGTTCAAACATTTCATTATCATTTTAAAGGATACCTCGAAAAAATATAAATTTTAAGCCACACTAACCTAACAATACTCCCAATGTAAGTAACAAATTACATAAATAAAATTTCATTTAATATTTTTATTTATTAATTAAAAGTTGTAAAATAATAATTTATTGTATAGAAACTCCAAAAGGGCGTGTGTTGACTTTGAGTCCTTTGCGTGTGTATGTTTTGTTTTTGTTTTTGACGTTTTTTTTTGTCAAATACATACTCTCTATATGCTTGTGCTTTAGCTGCACAATAAAAATAAATGAAAATTTTTTTTCACATGTAATAAATTTGATGATAAAATAAAAATGGATAATGGGCGATTTTCTTCTCTTCACATTTATAAAAGTACGCTCGCATAAGCACACAGAGCCACACATAAATCCACATACACATCCACATACAAGCCTACAAATGGAGACAATGTCTGCTGCTACACTACTTAAACGTCAAAGCCATAGACCAATAACAATAACAACACGAACAACAACAACAATAAAAACAATAACAACAATTCATCTGGTTTCTGTATTTCTGAACTCGTAATTTTGGAATTCACCATTACACAATCCAAGAAGACAAAAAAAAAATAATAAATATACCACAAGAATGTGTTCCTAACATCACACCGCATGTTAAAATGTTTTTGTTATTGTTGTTCGTGCAGCTAATCCTTTTCTCGTAATGCTCGTAGTGTTCGTAGTCTTGTATTGTCATTCACAAGCGTGGTGAAAAAGCTTTTTCAATGCTCTTACAAGAGCGCTGAGCATTTAAAAATTTCACTCATTTTCTTAGTGAGCAGAAGCAGCAACACACATGTGTCGGTCGCTCTACTCTTCAGTTGCGATTGAGCTTATGCCTCCTGCTAATACCTTATTTGCTTATTTACTTTATTGCCTGCCACTGATAAGAATTTTACTTTTGCTTCATCCCACGGATGGCATTGTAAGTATAAGGAAAGTGTCAGCTTTGTCGATTAATTACAACAAATGCACACATTTGCAGCCATTTCCTGTTTCCTACATTGTTGGTAGAACAGCAGAAAATCAAAGCAGAGTGAGTTTAATATCCGCCGTTGGATAATTCAACACATACTTTAGGTTAACTGAGCTTCTTAAATGTTAGTTTAGATTTTGATAAATGTTATTATGTTAACATATATCTTTATACGAGTATATGTTAAAAAAATATAAAATAGTATTCTTCACAGATTTGAAATTTCGTTTTCCCAAAAAACATTGAATTGTTTCTATTGTTTATTTTTTGACAATAACGAGTCACAGCTGATTAGGGAACCACGCTAGAAGATTGAATCACCTGTTTAATCATTTTTGTGACAGTTGTGGAGAGGACGAAGAAAGTGCCTCACATCTACTTTGTTACTGCCTAGTGTAAACGAAGCGCCGATTAATTATTTTGAGAGCTTCCTTTTTTAAGGATCTTGGCGAACTACAGAACTTCTGTTTAAAAAGCATTGTAAGCTTTACCGAAGGTTAAAGTTGATTTTTAAAACTGTAAGTTTTCTTTATACAGTAACACAACAGGCTAATAGGTTTTAAAATTAATTTAAAATATTTCATCAATTAACTTTGTCTCAATAATTCTTTACTTATATACACTATGGGACGAATAATCTTAATGTGTGTTGATTTAAAAGTTTTGTAACAGTCTTTTTCCCATAATTTTTATATGTCCAGTAGTATGGTTAAGGAAAATAAAACTATATGTACCTTGCTATATTCGACCTGACATCGTTACGATTCTTGATTAATATTCTTAACTAAGCATCGATCTTCGCACTGATACGAAGTCCATTTGCAGAACTTTTTTTAATTATGAACGTCAAATAAAACGGGTAATAAAATGGAATTTAGCCAGTTCTATTATCTTTTTCATTTCACTTATGAATATTAAATAAAAATATTAAATAATCTTCACTTAGAACGAAAACGTTGTATGAAAAAACACTCAACTCATGAGCCATCAATTATATTTCGAAATTATAAGGATATTAACAAATTTGTTCATATATAGTATCAGTATGGATATTTTGAATACTAGTACCGCATAAGAGATGATCGTTATCCAACTTCTAATTAATGAAAAAAAAATAATTTCAATGACACTGGTGATGTATGATTATTTGGAAATCGTGAATTATCTCATGACACTAAGAACTATTAGGTCAGTGTTGCAAGGCTATATCTACATTTTGAAGTGAAAAATTCCAATAAGTTACAAATTTGTCGTCAATATGAAACGACGACATAATTCTAATGAAATCTCTATACTTTACAACACGAAATTTAAAAAAAAAAAGCCAAATAAGTGGGCTGAGAGATTATTCTAAGTAATCTAATAATCTGGTATATTATTAAGCTATCTGAACTGAGAAAATCAGTTTATAGTGAACTAGTTCATTTAGGTAAGATCAAAATATTAGCTTCCTTGCCGCTGTAATTGTACAAACTGCAATAAACTCGAACTGGAACTGTAACCGACGATGATTGTGGATTATTGTTAAAGATGCTTATTCTATGCCTAGTTTTATATGAGGTTATCTTTTAATAAGTGTCGTGACACGTGACAGTCGTGACATGGCGTTGCACTTAGCTAAGAATATGAAATATGTCATTCATAAACAGAGCCTTCTTTTAATTATTGTGCCAAATAAGTAGTTTATAGAAGAAAAAATGACTGGCACATTATTTAGTTATGCTCCAGTGGAAATAAGGAAGGATTCCTTCCTTGTTTACTTTGCGTATAAATTATAATAAAATGTTTTAAATTTTCTGAAAAAATAATGAGCATTCAGCAAATTCAAACTTCAATTGTCTAAGCAATGGTTCGAAGAGAACTAATAATACCATAATACCACAATAATATCGTACTAATATCAAAGCTGAAAACATTTATTTGACATTGAAGATCCTTTAAAATCAACAACAAATTCGAATATATTACATCTTATAATGTAATAGAAATAAGTATTAAAAAACCAATAGACATGTAAGATATTACAAACTAAGTATCTATATAGTACCAGAACATGTAATAAAGAAGTGACGTTGTTAAAAATGGAGCGAGGATTGAGAGAGCCTTGATATATTAGTACCTTGAAATGCCATAACTGCTTTAAATGCAGCACTCAATATAATGACGTTTATTAATTTAAAATAAAAAGTTTTCCACTCAAATTGGTTTATTTTATTGTTATTTATAATTAAAATTTTAGGATTGAATATATGTTTAAGGATTTCTGGTAATTGTTTTCCAAGTATTCTTTTTGATTCGCATCTGTCATTGACAATATTTAAGAATGCATAATTCTTTGTTTCTTGTGGTATTAATACCACTTCTGTAGTTGATAAATAATTAGAATTAAAATAGAAAATACAATATATCTTACAAATTGTTTTTCAATTTACTTAAGGTATGCAAATATCGCAAATCCAATTACGGCTTCAAATAAATTTGGATTTTGATATCTTGATTTTATATGCTCAATAAGTTGGTATTAAAGAAATGCCTGAAGTAGATAATATAAAATGTATTTAGCTCTAATTTTTATTCTCAAAAACATGAAACTGTGTCAGCTTACGTAAAAGTATTTAGCTTCGAGATACTCGTTATTGATGAAAGTTTCCTTTATCTTTGTTAATCAAGTCGACAAAGATTCCGCATACCGAAAATGCTTCGTCTTTCGATTGTTAGTGATTGTTTTTTGTTTTTTGTTTTTTGTTTTTTGTTCTTTGTTTTCACATTTCTTTATTTTCCAACATTTTCTCAATTTTCCTAATTTTCTCGACTTAATTACAAAATATACGAACAATGTTGTCTGCTTAAACGTTTTATGTCCTCCCCTTTCCCTCCCACGTCGCTTGCAAGTCTTTTCGAATTAGTTTTCGGTGTGAAAACTCATTCAAATTGCAAATGGAAAACTCATCGAATTTGAGGAATTTTTGCTAAAGTAATTTTTTTTAAGTTATCGAAATAATTAAAGCAAAGTCAAGGCGGAAATGGTTTCACCCATTTTTGTCGCTGCTATCTTCTTCAGAGACTGGGAGCTGAAGTATAACTTTGATGACTTCTACAGTTGAAAAGTTGGAAGAGTAAATTTATAATTATTTTCCTATATAAATTTTTATTTCTTTAATAATTTCGATTAGTATTATAATAAATAAATACATTAAAAAGTAATATCATCGGTAGTTAAAATATTTTATTAAAAACTTTCGTCTTTTTTGTTTTATAGTTCACCTTAGAAACCTTCCTGTTTTTAAGAATATTAAAGTTGCATTCCAAAGTAAATAGAACAAATAATTATTTGTTAAAATTTTTTGCTGGCACTTTGACTTTTGCTTATTTCAATCTCTGCTAATATTTTTATAAGTAATATAATCTAAGTGTATTTGAGTTAAGTTAAGCATTGTGTGTAGCATGTAATGAATTGTTCAATTATTAGTATAAATTAATAGGAATTAAGCAATTATTAACAATTTAACAATTAACAATTTTAAACATTTAATTTAATTCTATTATTTTGGTTTCGTACATAAATTCCTTAATAATTCCTTATTTCTTTTAATCTGAATACATTTTTCACAGTTTGAATATGATTAAATATGGAAAATATGATCAACGAAAGAACATTATTAAAATGACATATGAGAGATATTTTAATTATTGATACTTCATTCTTTATCATTCTTTTTCTCAATCAATTGTGTTAATAAATTATATATTCTAAGATTTTACGTGTTGCTTAGTAGACAATAGCAGTTTAGTAGGCACACAAAAACCACCTCTTAGGAATGAATAAGGAAGATTTCTACAATTAACCCGAAGGGCAGTGTGCGAAACTTCATTTCAGCAATTGGAGAAGAGCGTTGAGACAAAGATATTTAGTACTTAGAAGTCTAAGTGTATTTAAGCCAGAAAACATAATAGGTTGAGATGGTGGGTTTATTGCACCCTGTGATCAGGGTTACGAAAGCCAAAAAGGGTGTGATAGAGGCATATGAATGTCTGTAAATGAACTAATAGGT